GCCCCGCGGGTTTTGCTTCATCTGATCGGCTTGTCTAAATCGGCCATTACAGAGACAGCCGATCAACCTTCCCAAAGCAATTATCGGCCGACTATGATCGGCGACCGATCAATCAGAGCACCCCTAAAAGTAAACACCTAGTTCTATGAAATAATAAACCATACATTATTAAGAATCAAACTATTGCTTTTTGTGTGTGTAAAAATGAAACACAAATAGTCCTTTCTTTAGCTAACTGGCTGTGCTCCTTATTTACTCCCAGCTGGGGACATCGCTGTTGCACAGGGGCCATGGTGGATTTTGTGGTCCGCTTTGGATCACAGTCCTGTTTTAGAAGTCAGTCTGTTTTCACTTTCCCTTTCTTGAATGACTAGATGACACCTACATCCAGGAATCTGTGGATGTTTATTAGAATCCACTCTTCCTCTATCCAAGCAATGTTTCCTTTCCCACTGGCTGCTACAACAATACCCGAGCAGAATGTTTCCACCAAATTCCATTCCTTTATTTCTCCAAACACACCGTTGGTGATTGTGACCAAGGAACTCACTTTTAATTGCCTATCAAGTGCTGTTGCAGACTTCAGACACAGACATTTGTGTTGAGGTTATAGGTAGGTAGATAGGTTTCATGTAGACCCTATTTGTGCATCAAAACTCCACAATCTGGAAGTGTTCATCTTCATTAGTTTTCCTCAGAAGAGGATCAACCAGTAGTTTTTGGTTTTTCAGATTTACCAGCTGAACTTGGAAAAATCCATGTAACCAATAATGGCTTTTAGTCAAAAACTCCACATACTCCTGCTACATGTGAGTGCCTGATGTTAGCCCTTTTGCATAAAATACATTATAACTTAACACACAAAGTCACAGTACCTGCAGGAAGGACAATGCAGCTCCCTCACAGACCTCCATGATGATGTCACCCAGTTTCAGCTCCACCTTTCCTGACTTCCTAATCTGCAGTTTACCCAGAAATCCTTCTGGGAACTGTGACAGCACAGCGCAGCCCTCCTTCACCACAGCCTCCTGGAGAGAGGCGGAAACACACAAACAGTCAGTATCTAATTTTTTTTGTTGTTGTTGAAAAGGCCAACAAGTGATACCGCCGAGAGACTGCAATTCAATGTCAAGCACTACAAACAAAATTATCTTCTTTGTATTATGATGGCAACAGAAATGAAACACAAATGTGTTTAGACCTGAGCAAGTAAAGCCAGAATTATCTGCAAGAAGAGATACCAGAAGAAAGTATGTTTAACATCACAGTTTTAGTGTTCCTTCAGTGAACTCACTTGTGCATGTAGACGAGCAGGCCTCTTGTCTTCCTTTTTCCCAGGTTTCTCTGCTGTAGATCCATCAGTGGGGTCGACCTTCTGTCCAGACACTCTGCATGGCATGCAGTCTGGTAGCTGCATGAAGAAGAGCTCCTCTCTGCCAGACAGGCTGAGATCCTGGAGCAGGTCTACCAGAAATGGCTGCTCTGGTTTGGGCTGCTCTGCCCTGCTGTGGCCTGCTCTAACCTGAGATGCACAGGCTTGAGGTCTGAAAAATTGAGGGTTTTCTGGACCTGCCAACATGACACCCACAAACACTTCAGCACAAGAATCTATAACAGACTGATCGCACACACACTTTGTGCCTGTAGTAGTTCACACCGGCAAGAGAGACACTTTATATTCACATGCTCCATACACTCTCCACGTATCTATTGTTTTCCCACATACAGTACAGTGCTGAGCCTGACTGTTACACTGCTGTGTGGATCCAATCTAGAACATGCAAATGTTGCCTTTGAAGGGATACTTCAATTCTGACAAAATGCCTAAGATACTGTATGCTGAGCTGTTCTACAGTATCTGCTTCTTCTCTTCTGGTGGTGTTTATTGACGAACTGCACTGCAAGTTACTGTGTAAACAGTCAATGTCATTAGTAGTATCTGTGTCAACGTTCACCTCAGCTAATACACTTCCAGTGTAAGTGACAGGGGACAAAAATTAAAAGTCCTTGCTCTGTGTAAAAATGTTTTCAGAAGTTTCTCCGATGCTACAGAGTCGGACCCTTGACTTGAGTGTCCTGACTAAAATGAGCTCCTTGTTAAACAGGCATGTAATGTAAAATTGTAGCACCAGCAGTAGTAAGAGGTGGATTTTCCTCACATATTGTGGTCGCCAGTGTTCGACTCTTGCTGAAGCTGTCGGACTGACACAGAGGCAGCTGGATGGGTTTCATCTTGGCATCATTCCTCAGACCTGGATCATCTATGAACTGTAGGTGCAACACATAATATTAGTTATAACAAACAGTGAGATAAGGGTTATTATTATTATTATTACTATTATAAATTAAAACTAACTGATGCTGTGCAGCTAAGAATCAAAGTGTTATGTTAAAAATGTTATGAGGCTCTATCAGATTGGGTTTGTCACATCTACCACAGCGTTACTACTACAGTTACAGCCTTTTAAGTACCAAACCACCTCAGCCTCTCAAAGCACATCTGTTTCAATGTTCACATGGGCATCTTGAAAATTTGTGAGCCTGTCCTTTAAGGAACAGGTACTTCCCAACAGGAAGTACTCACATCATCCCTTTGTAGTTTACTGAGCATCTCATCTTCTTCCCCCTTAGAATCTTTCCTCTCTTTCTTCACTAGTTTACACACAGGAGAGGTGGTGGGGTCATGAAGGTGTACAGCACCACGCCAGCCTGAACAGAGAGGTTGATTGTGAGGGAAGGAGAAGTGCAACTGTAATACATCTGTAAATGCACCTCTGAATTCCCCTGAAAAATCAAGGATATTAAATAAAAGAGAGGGTGTGCACCTGCTTTGCGTACAGTGTCAGCAGGACCCTGTTCAAAGATGGAGTGAGACTGAATGGTCTGAGGCCTCTCTCTCCTCCTGCCTCTGTTCTCCCTCCTCTCCTCCCTCTCTCTTCTCTTTTTTGGAACCACGTGGATCTCTTCCTTTAATCTGAGAAAGAATCAGACACAATATTTATAAAACTGTCAGCACTGAATACTAACAGCCCAAATTAGGTAATTTTTTCCTAATGAAACAAGAGATGATTATTGATGGTCACTTACTCATCTTTGCTTTTCCTCACAGCGTGAACATTTGGCTCAAAGGTTTTCTTTGGAGAAAGAGAACAGAAAGAAATACAAAACATTTTTAAAGACTGTTCTCTCGTCATATAACAAATGTAACATCATTTAAATCTAGTAAGAAAGGAGAATGTAGGGACTATGGCCCAGCATGCCTGAGGGTTTAAGAGACTATTTTTCTGTCAACACAAAAGCTGCAAAGCTTCAGCTGCAGCCATTCACCAGTTTTCCTCAGATACAAGTCTATTGACAAAATGTCCATGCAGATTCTCAGTCATCCAGGTCACAGTAAGCTGAAAAAACTTAGAAAAATAGATAAACATCTCCATCTCAACGCCAGTCGGGCAGAACTGATGAAGCCTCTTGCATGGGGATGAGAGGTGAAACGTCTTTGACCTAAAAACCTAGTCCAGTTGATTTTTCAAAGTTTTTTCAGCCTCTATTGACAAAAGCAGATGTATCTTTATATAAAGTGGGTGAAGCTGAGTGTAAATGGTCGTGCCTCCTAAGTCTCTGACACAGAATCCATTTACTTTTATTTCTTCACACCATGACTGTTGCACCAGTGTTTTCCCTTGTCTTATAAAAATCCATTCATTAACTTCTGTGTGGAAGGCTCTAACCAGAGACATGACAACATCATTCCTGTTATAGCCTCCATACAATAACTCCCAGTACAGTTGAAGTAGTAAGTTTACATACACCTTAGCCAAATACATTTAAACTCAGGGAGGCGACAGTGGTGCGATGGGTAGAGCAGTCGTCTCCCCACCGGATGGTTGAAGGTTTGAATCTCGGTGCCTGTAATCCGCATGTTGAAGTGTCCTTGGGCAAGACACTGAACCCCCACGATGGCGGCGCATATGCATGCAGCAGCCCGGGGCCCTCGGCTCCAAACATAATTTCGTTGTACGTGTTACAATAAATAAATAAAGCTCCTTTTTCACAACTCCTGACATTTAATCCTATAAACATTCCCTGTCTTAGGTCAGTTAGGATCCCTATATTTTAAGAATGTGAAATGTCAGAATAACAGTAGAGAAAAAGATTGATTTCAGCTTGTATTTCTCCCATCACATTCCCAGTGGGTCAGATGTTTATATACACTCTGTTAGTATGTGGTAGCATTGCCTTTAAATTGGTTAATTTGGGTCAAATGTTTCAGGATGCCTTCCAGAAGCTTCTTACAATAAGAATTTTCACCCATTCCTCCTGACAGAACTGGTAGAACAGGGTCAGGTTTGTAAGCCTCCTTGCTCACACATGCTTTTTCAGTTCTACCCAAACATTTTCTATTAGGTTGAGGTCAGGGCTTTGTGATGGCCACTCCAGTACCCTGACTTTGGCAGACAGTTCAATTGTTGTTTCATCAGCTCAGAGGACATTTCTCCAAAAATAAAGATCTTTGTCTCAATTTGCAGCTGCAAACCATAGTCTGCCTTTTTTTAATGGCATCTTGGAGCAGTGGCTTCTTCCTTTCAGGTTATGTCAGTACAGGACTTGTTTCACTGTGGATAGAGACACTTTGGTACCTGTTTCCTCCAGTGTCTTCACAAGGTCCTTTGCTGTAGTTTTGGGATTGATTTGTACTGTTCGGACCAAAGTATGTTCATCTCTAGGAGCGTGTCTCCTTCCTGAGCAGTATGATGGCTGCATTGTCCTGTGGTGTTTATACTCACATTGTATTGTTTGTACAGATGAACGTTGTGCTTTCAGGTGTTTGGAAATTTCTCCCAAGGATGAACTGGATTTGTGGAGATCCACATTTTTTTCTGAGGTCTTGGCTGATTTCTTTTGATTTTCCCACAATATCAAACAAAGAGGTACTGAGTTTGAATGTAGGCCTTAAAATCCATCCACAGCTGCACCTCCTATTGACTCAAGTGATGTCAGTTAGCCTATCAGAAGCTTCTAAAGCCATGACATTAGTTTCCCTAAACTGCCTGCTGGTTTAATATGCCAGATAAATGTGTATTACAGTGCATATCTGAATAGGACATTTGACATAGCTGTTTTTCTTAAATGTCTTGGAAATAATCAACATATGATAGTGCTGCTAGTTTAATAAGATCACTTTATATCTGATAAAATGTCTTTGATGACACAATAATGACTAACTTCCTCTTTGTTTTCTCTTGCTTCTCATGTTAACAGTAATTTGTAGGCCATCGGTGCCAGGCGCATGTAGGTTTGTGACACTTGAATAAAAATATTTATTCATGTATTCACTAATTTAATTCCCTAGTTGAAAGCATTTGCCTATTTTTATATTATTAGTTTTTGACGTCCAATCTCTCAATGCTTTAATATTATCCATGTTATATTCCATCCCTATGGTGTGTCATTCATTACCTTTGGTTTTTTAAAGGCTGCTCCCAGTGTTAGGTCCCTGGTCCTGAGGGACGTCAGTCTTCCGGGTGGAGTGGGGGAGGAGAGACTCCTGACTCGGCCTGGGAGTGCTCTGCCCGCGGTAAAGCTCAGCCTGGCACCGCTGCTTGGGCCGGTGGAGCCGGAAACAATAGCTGCATCATTTGAGTCGCTCATTTTGTGATATATGGTCTTCAGTATATTACTTTTTTTTGCGTCCGTGGGCAAGACGTTCCCCGTGTTTTACTGTGTAGTTAGCCACGTGGGTAAAATAAGGTTACAGTTTAGGGCGAACTTAACGCTTTTATTTTGAAAGCAAGCCCTTACAAATCCGCATTTTCATGGCTGGGTTTATGTTCCTTCCCTCTATGTCCAGCAAAAATAGCGTGAGAATGTCTTGAGAAGCAAGGTGATCAGTGGAAGGCGCTGAGTAGGTCAGAACATTCAACTTCACAGCTTATAACCGTCCATTTTGTTTACAGACACGATACCTAAACAGACTACTGCGCCAGGGTGCAAAACGGTGCTTTCACGCAGCCAGAAATATTTCCGTGTTTACATAACAGAACGCTATTACCGGTTGTTATAGTCGGTCTCGTTGCACAGTGTGTTTTCCTTCCCGGCCGCACACAAATATCACTTCATCTTGGACGTATCTTCTTAGCCATAACACAGCGGGGTTGTAGAACACATATAGTGCTCAGTAAACGTGTTAAATCTGTTATTGTACCAACAGCATTATCCCACCAGTTCCGTTTTGCCGCCTGTTTTATGGGCTCAGCTTGAATATGTGTAATTTCCTGCGCTGAGCTGCTATTGTTGTTGTTAACACGGTACTTCATAGGTGGAGCCACCAGGGGGCGGTGTTTGTCTGATGTGTGAGATGGTGGGTCCCGTCACCAAAGGGTCGAAGAAATGCATGGCCCTAGACCTTTCTCACAGTAATTACAAACCTGAAAATGAAGACTTAACAACAAAAGAAATATCGGTGGACCATAATGTGTACCCACATGTGTTTACATCATAAGAGAAATCTGAATTTTCTTGGCGTTTTGTTTTTAAACCATTTACTTTTAGAGTAACATGGGTTGAGGTGCCTGCTCACATGCAACTCTCCACATGTGACCACTAAATATTAGCAAAGTTGATGTTTCTGTGTTGCATGTGTAAACAGTTTTTAAAGGTTGTTGCTGAATTCTGGACAATGTAAGATTTTGAGGTAAAGTGTTCTACATTTTCCTTCTTAGGATTTAAGGGAAACACATCACTAATGCAATGATGAGATTCATGGACAGAGCTCAGTATTTGTTTGGAACAAAGTACTTTTTTCCCCATTTAGTTCAGTGGGAATGTGTGTCCCAACATTTGACTGGTAGTTTATAGCTATTGTTATTTTCATAAAGAAAAAGGTACCAAATGCCACAATCCTTGTCAAAGACCAAAGATTACATTTTATTTAACTGAGAAGACAGAATCATCTAAAGCTCTGGTAGTCCTACTTCTGAGCTTAGCCATAGGCCCAATAGCTAACTAAGGATACATTAAGATACTAAAAGATTAGTGAGAGTGCAATTTAGTAAGATGTAGAAATTGTGACAAAATATGGGACCATGTGTGAGATACATGAGGCACTGGCAGCAGAATGGCGCACTAAAGGAAAAATAGCCTAGCAGGCTAATAATAGCTTACTTAGTGCAAACCTCGTGAAAGTAGCCCAATACATAGAGCATGTGATATATAAAATCAATATAGAACTCACTGATATAATAAAAACTAAACAAACACAGGTCATTAATGATTTTACGAGCATCTAGAACAAGAAAACCAAGGGTGGTATCTTGCTCCATTACTGGGGATAAAGAAAACATATAATACTCTACCATTATAATACCACTTAAACTTGGCTTGTTTCTGCAGACTGAATTCATATCCAAACAGCTTGCAATTTTTCAGTAAACAGATAATCTTCTTAAGGGGGCATCTTCCCCCATGTTACCCCTACTTTCATAGCTTATAAGGATAATGATAATCACCTTTATTGGCCAAGTATGTTACACACAAGGAATTTGTTTCCAGTACAGAACTGATGGCAGCCATCTGCGGCGCCACCTCAACCACCGAGATTCGAATCTTCAATCTTCTGGTTAAGAGATGACTGCGCCCCCCAAAGACTGGCCTTCTCATGGCATCATTGAAAGCAGACAGGTTGAAATTTAGTGCCATTGGCCTTTCACAGGGGGAGATGTGGCAAGCGGATTGAGCCACACTATTGGACTGATTACACAGATTAACCACCTGTGTCTGTGCTTTGTGCACAGTATGTCTGAAACAGACAGATAAATGCATTAGGCTAGCAGGCATTATTAACACCGTGAGCTCAGCTCAAGACAGCAGTTTGTCACTTTCTATAAAATATATTGCTCTCCAACCATTAGACCAGGATACAGGGAAAATCCGGACAGGAATAAATCCATCAAAAAAATCTCCTAAACTGTTTTTCTAGTTTGTGGATTTTTTTCTGATTCAAGTTGAGGCTGCCAGCTGAAGTCCTGTGGCTTTGAGGAGAGAACTTTTAAATCCTGGAGGTTTTGTACAAAATCACCACTATTCCTGACAGGAAATCCACTTCTTCAGAGCCATGCTCTCCTTTGTTGTAGGGCACAGGTAAGAACTATAAAGACACAGAAATCGTAACAGTTTGGGGGGTATTTAATGATAGAGCATAGTAAAGGAAACAGATTTGGGGGTGGCTGCAAATACTGTTATTAGATTATTAATTACACTGCATAATGATCGAATAACTTTTTAAAACTCGATTTTAGGGGGGTTTAGGGTTTTTTAGAATTAGGTGAACATCTACAATTTGAATTAAGTATTACAGACGTTTGGCAGATGAACCTGTTTGGGGACCCTGCTGGAAATACTGTATTTACTGTTGGGGTCCTACCAAAAACCCTACAGTTTCTGTCAGTTTATGCTAATTTTATATTTGATGGAACTTTGCTTGGGTTTATACGCATATGAGCACAATATGATCTGAAGTCTTTTACAACTAGATTTTGAAAAGGGGCCTCCCAACCAAACCTTAATATTACTGTACATAATAAAACACAAGTTAGATGTTATAATGAGCCCAAACTTTGACCCTTTACTTGTGAAAAACAAAACTGACAACCAAGAACCAGATCATCCACCAAGACAGTGGATTAGAAACAGCAACATACACCTCTAAAACAAGTCAGACTAGCAATATTACCACAGGACCAGGAGGTGGCAGCTCCATTCCATGAACCAATTCTGTCAGTAAAGTATTATTCCAATCAGTATGTCCTCCTTCCTAGGGAGGTGTTCCGGGCATGTCCCACCGGGAGGAGGCCCTGGGGAAGACCCAGGACATGCTGGAGGGACTATGTCTCTCGACTGGCCTGGGAACGCCTTGGCATTCCCCCGGAGGAGCTGGAGGAAGTGTCTGGAGAGAGGGAAGTCTGGGCATCTTTGCTTAGACTGCTGCCCCGCGACCCGGTCCCGGATAAGCAGAGGAAAATGGATGGATGGGACACTGAAGTTTGCCACTGAAACCAATCAGAAGCATAAAGACAGAATGTTGTTGTAATTACTGGTCAGGTTTTTTTCAGCCCTGCTGCTGTTATAGTTGATGGATTTTTTAATGTAGTTTTAATAGTTTTAGTTTTAATACAGTTGATGTATTCATTGCCATCGAGATGAAAAGAGAAATTCAAGATATGTAACAAAAATGCTTCTGGCAGGAACTGACAACCCTACCTTTAACCTGAATGACAAAACAAAACAAATGACTTAGACAGTAGCATTTGGGTCTGTCAGTACTCATGATAGCTGTTTTTCTTCATTGGCTTCCTATTGTAACGGAATTTGGGAGTGATATTTGACAGTGACTTTAAATCTGATATGCAGATTAACTCAGTTGTCAAATCTAGGGGGTTTTTTTTCAGCTCAAAGTTTTAGCCAAAGTCAAACCTGTTCTCTCCTTTTCTGATTTCGAAAAAGCAGTTCATGTGTTCATCTCATCACAACCTGATTCCTGTAATTCCTTGTACAAAGGAATCAGCCAGCTCTGTTTGCAGCTCATTCTAAATGCTGCTGCTAGGTTCCTACTGGGACATTGTAAACATAAACACATTTCTCCCAAACTTGAATCTCTCATTTTTAGATACTTGCTAGACACTTGTTTCTTATATTTATGATGTTTACTTCTCTTTTTATTGACTGATTTACAGCTCTTTGGTCAACTCCTGTTGTTTTAAATGTACTTATAAATAATGTAGTGGATGTATCTCAGTTTGGCAGGATAAACAATTACCTCAGAGCACCAGTTCTGTTGACAGTGAAATGACCAAAACTAATTTAATAATTAATTATTAGCAATTAATTTATTATAACTTATAAACCAAATTATCAACCAAATTATTAACCTGAGGTCTGAAGGATGAGTTACTGTCAAAACAGTGACCTTGGCTTTACAATTAGAAGGAAAAGAGAGCGAGCAGAACTGAATTTTATGCTTTTATTAATAAAAATAATAATAATTTTAAAAAATCTAATGGTTGCTGAATACAATGACTGTAAATTTTCAATTTTCATTTTAATGCCTGAATCAGAGCTAAATGACACCAGCTCAGTTTAGAAGAGAGGACTAGTCTTGCTTTCTTGGAGTGAGTCGGACCACGACTGATGATGGACTGGGCCCGGAGGGTTCAGTTGGTTCAACTCAGTCTGCCTTCCAGAGTCTCTTCAGAAGATTAATCCCTAAGAGTCCTCATCGTCACTTTGGGACTGCCTGGTGGGGCTGTTGACATCCACAGAGCTCGAAGTGTTTTGACTGAGCAGGTCAGTTCACAGGCAGCCGTCTGTTACTTGGACAGCTGCCCAGACCGGATGGAGACACTGGGACACCTGTTGCACCTCAGATAGGGAGAGAAATGAAAGAGCCTTTAATGTTTACTGTTTTTAAGATGCCATCCTGTGACCTTTTGTGAGGTGGACATATTTGTTTGAGAGATATGTTGCCTTTTACTTTTTATAGTCAGTGGTGTTTTTAACATGTTTATGATGTTTGGAGGTATCATTAAGCAGAGATGTGTCAAGAAGGTATTGTGTACTCATTAGCAGTGTCAATTATCATGTGACCTGCAGCTGTTATGTCACTTGCATGTTTATTAAACTTATTTGTTTTATTTTTATGGCTTCTGAAGGGGTGACCAAGTCTGACCTCTCTAGGTTCAAATACAATGGTGTCTATTGCACTGGAGGTCAAAGAGGGGAAAGGTGGGGTAGAGCGTGTTTAAACCAGGAGGTGCTTGTAGAGAATACAAAAGATGCTGCAGGAGCTCTGTAAACTGTTCTGCTTCATGAACCAGAAGCGGAGATATTGCCAGCTTTGACCTTTTGCAATAAATCCTACACCTTGCTTTAGACTGGAGAGACTGTATTTTTTCAAAAGATAAGGGAATGATCACTGGTGTGTGCCTGACTTATACTGGCCCAGGTCAGGTTTTACAACAGTTTCTTATCTAAAGGTAAATTTCCTTTGGTTGGTAGGATCAGTGAGTGTTTGTCCAGGGAATTCTTTGCTCTTCTGGAGTAATAAAAGATTCAGTTTTTAATGTGATGTTAAACAGCTTGTGGCCTCTTAGGTGTCAGAGTGTCTCCACATCAGATGCGAATCAGGTTTATCGTCAGGCCAGAGGTTTTGTGTATTCTACAGGCTGGGGGAGCAAACGGGTGAACAATAGAAGTGTGTTCTGAGGTGTTTAACACATCTGGAGAGACAGTCCTCTCTCCCTGCTTTGTGAATGCATTTGCACATGATTTTGCTCATCTGCTGTCAGGTTCATTACAATAAACTTGACTTGACACACACACACAATACAATACATTCATTGCTAGATTTAACGTTTTTGCAATTTATTGATTGAAGAAATCCATTTAAAAGCTTCAGTACTGAGCTACATACTGTATGATATGATCAATCAGTAGCCAGTGTATACATACATCCATAGCACACATTACTGAGCAAACCTGATTTTTATTAAAAGCCAATATAAGCTCAAAACTAAAGTACTGCATTCCATTTCAAATCATGTCTAACATGTAAACACCTGAAAAAGTTTTTATTGATCTGTGGAAAGTATCTCTGGATTTACATTACATAGAGTATCTTCACTGCTATCATGCAAGCTGACACAGCGAGCATTCAGCATCTCCCCTGCCTTGTCCCTGAAAAGAGCCAGGTTCAAGGCTGATGTTTAATCTATAAGAGGTGGCGTTAATGCAAGAGGAAACTATCTCCATATGCATGAAATGTTTGTCGATTCTACTGACACTGATTGGTCAAACATAGAGGAGCCTTAGAGAACTCGCCAAGTATTGGTAGAAATCTATAGATGAGTGATTTCCAGTGACTGACCTGATTATCACTGGCTATGTTTAAAAGCAAAAAGGAGGCACAGACGGCCTGTGGGGGGTATGAAGAACATACCTATGCACAGCGCGTGGCAGTGCCGGGCGCCCGTGTATGGATCACAGTAGTGATGGCCATGGAGGCATAGGCGCACTGGGGGCGCATGGGGTGTGTGTGTGTGTGAGTGCGGTGGGGCACATACTACGCCAGCGCACAGCGATCAGACCGCTGGTGGCGTACTCACGTGGCGTCACAGTTGTGCCATGTGTTGCACCAGCATCGCTGTGTGGGACGCCGCTTGATGTCTGGAGAGTGCCATCAGAATCAGATCGTCTAGGTAAAAGAGGACCCTGATTCCTGCTCTGCGCAGCGGTTCTAATGCCGCTTCCACGCACTTCGAAAGGGTGCGGGGGCCAGGGAATAGCCGAAATGTAGCCTGTTGTATTGGAAGTGTGTGCCTTGGAAGGAAAAACGCAGGAATTTCCTGTGTTTGGGAATAATAGGCACATGAAAATAAGCGTCTCTCAGACCGATGGAAGTAAACCAGTCGCCTGGACGCACGCATTCCAGCACTTGTCTCGTGGTGAGCATATGAAACGGTCTCTGTAAAATGTATTCGTTGAAGAGGGACAGATAGGTCTCATTTCGCCCGATTTCTTGGGAACCAGGAAGTAGCGCGAGTAGAAGCCCTCGCGTTCCTTCCCCTGCGGAACCATGGAGATTGCTGCTACGACCACCTGCAGCTCTGTCGCCAGTGCAGCGGAGCTCGCAGGTGACGTTATGACAGTCTCCAGCACACCGCTGAAAGCAGGAGGGTGCCTGGAAAATTGCAGGGTGTAGCCGGTGTGAATCAGCTTGTCCATCCAATCATTCATGGACAGCCGGTCTCGCCACACCGCATAATTCTCTGTCAGGGGATGAGCGTTTGTGCGTGGTGCGCTCGCGTGCACAGTCGCTAACCACTGGTACGCCCTCTCCGCCATTGCCAGGGACAAGTGTTCGCTCTGCACAACCCATGGGAGGGCGCTGGAGAAAGGGCTGAGAGGAGGGGAGCGTCGCGTGTTCAGCTGCAGCGCTCGCCTCCTGTGTGGGAGGGAAACCGTACGCACAAGCGGGGGAGGAGTGGGGAGACCACACAGACCCACAGGCAGCTCTGCATCAGACAGAGCAGCGGTGTCGTGCTGTGACGAAGTGGGGAGGGCGTACGCGGGAGAAGAGACGACTGGTGGGGAAACGTGTGTGCGTGTGGATAGGACATGTGCAGCCACATATTGTGTTGCACCATCGTGGCCCATGCCTGGATGCAAGCCGTAGCCATGGCAGCAGCGGAGGACAATGTGAGTGTTGTGGCCATGGCTTTGCTGATCTCCTTTGCGGCCTCCGCAGGGAGGGCCCTGGGCTGGGCGGCGAGGGAGGACACAGACGATGAGAGGAGGGCAATGTTGTTCCAAGCAGCTCCAGCCTGCGAGGCGCACTGATGAATGCGATCCATGAGCCGAGCGGTGATCTGGTCTCGGGGCAGCGGGGGAGTCGGCTGCCGACTGCTGAAGAACACCGCCTTGGGAAGCAGGATGGCAGAGATGCTGGGTTCCAGTGGCGGGACGGCGGGGAACCCAAGGTTGGTCATCCTGTCAACTCTGGTGAATGGCCCGAAGCAGTCGACTGGAGCCCACAGGCCCCCAGGCCTGGAGGTGTGGCCCAAAGAGACCATCTGGGCTGACAGGTCCTTCCAGCAGACTCTTCTTAATCTGCTCTGGCATCCAGGACATGTGCAGCCACATATTGTGTTGCACCATCTTGTGCCTCAGCCAAGAGGGGCTGAATGGCGAGGAACCTGGGCCAGATTGGGGAGGGCTTGCGCAGCTGCTCCGCCTTGTAGTAGTCCCCCACCATGTCCGAGGGAGCAGGGGGTGGGCTGGCCTCAGGACGGAGATGCC